TCCCTTGCGGCGGGGGGGGGGGGGGGTGGGGGGGGGGGGGGCAGTGGCCCTTATGGGGAGGAAAAAAACTCCATTCTCTCAGGTTTTGCAACAATTGCCGCAGACACTTGGTAGATAGAAAATGCTTTTCCTTTGGAGGGGGGACTGCAGGCAGTTTAAGGGGGCAGGTGGACCCAGAGAAGTCTGTCGGGGGTGGGGGGGCAGGGCGGGGTTGAGGTAGCTAAGCAGACTGCGTTGTGCACAACAGAGACGAGGTTGCGGGGAGTCTTGAAGCCACGTGCCTGCCCAGCCTCTGAGTTCTCTGTTCCTCCCCCCTTGGGAATATTTGCCGTCCTTTCCCCGTCACAGAGACCAGCAGCATCCTCTCGCACTGTGGGCGCCTGAGGCGGCTCCCCCCCCCCCCGGCCTTGCAGTTGTGTGTGGGGGGGCCTCCTGCTGCAGCTCCTCTTGTTTTTTTGGGAAGCTTCCCATTGGGAGGAGGAAAAGGCCGAGAGTAGGGGGGAGATGTTGTGTGAAACCTTGCAGCAGGATTTGCTGTGGAGAGACAGCTGGGGTTGTGCTGAAGAATAATCCAAGATAAACGTCCCAGGAACGAAAGCAGGAAGGGTGGCCGGGGGTGGGGGTGCTCCGTGAGGGTGCTTGCTGGTGGGCTAAATGTGCAGCCGAAGCCTGCAAGCGGGGCTGGTTTGGTCTTGAGAATGAGGGCAGTCCCAGGGCACCTGAGAGATCGTCCAGGGTTGGCCCAGAGCACAGGGTTCTCCAGGGAAGAAAAACGCAGATGAAAGGGTCCTCCGGGGACCTCTGTGCAGCCGAGTCAGTGGCAGGCAGGCAAGTACCTTATCCTTGGGGCACCTGCTGGGCAAGCCAGAGCTGTTAGGTTGTCGGTCTCCTTTGGCTGTGGGGTGATGGGAGCGGCAGTGCAAATGCAAGTCCTCGGCACACCTGTGCACACACCACCTTTCCCACAGGAACACAGCAGATTTATTGTTTGCCAGTTCATGTAACACTTACGGGAAGTGGCTGGACTCGGTGGCTCCATTCTGCGGTGTGGAGGAGTCAGGCTGGGCTTGCAAAATCACATTTTTGGCATGTTTGCCCCCCCCCCCCCGGTCCTTAAGGCCCTTGGTAGGACTCGCTGCTTCGGTTGGCATCAGCTGTTCTGGCTATGCGTAGACTCTACCAGCATGCCTGAGCAGTGGCTTGGCATTGGGGGGGGGGAGGTCTGTAGCTGCACGTTGCCCTGGGAGGAGATGTCCAAGCAGAAGGGCGCCTTGGCCTGGCAGCCGCTGTGTGCTGCCTGTCCTCCGATGGCTGGGGAGACCCGCTCCAACCCGTGTGTGTGTGTGTCACTATTGGTGGGCAGGACCCAGATCCCTCTGCCCAACTTGTACCTCGTCTGGAAACGGATGTGCTGCCACGGGGGGTGCTCCCAGAGGCCAGGGCCCGCTGGTGCTGCCTCTCAAGACCAGACCGTTTTGGTTCCGCTCAGGAGCAGAACCCACCCCACCCCTCTGGTGTCAGGAAGGAGCGCAGCACAGACAGCGCTCCTTCCTGTGTGCGTGAGGAAGGATCCTCCGGGACAGTAACGGTCAGGTGCAGGGAAGCTGGCGTCTGTCCCCAGTGCAGCAGGGGTGCAACGGAAGGGATTGCCTTGCACCGTACAGGCAGCAGCACTGGTGGGATCTGAGCTCTGAAATGCATTTTCTTGTGGATTCAGAAGTGCCAGACAAGCCCCCAGGAAACCAGCACAGAGTGTGAATATCCATGAGCGGCTGCAGTGAAGGTCTGGTGGGAAGGAAACCCCCCCCCCCGGGGGTCCCCGACTCCCTTGCTGTCTCCGCCTGCTGAGAAAGGGCCTGTTCCGTCCATTCAGAGGCAGTGGGGACCTTGTCCTCGATGCCGGAATACTGTGAACCAGTCCCCAACAGAGGAGGTGTACTCGGCTTTCTTGGTCTGTGGGGGCTTGTCTGTTGTTGCCAGGTGACGAGTGAAGGGGGGGCGGGGGCGGCAGAATCCTGACAACACTTGTCAAAGGAGCACCTGCCGGGCATCGCTGGAGTCTCTGTGCATGCTCCATCATCTTTCCCCCAGCATCAGCCAACTCAGGGCTCACTGACCGTTTTCCTGCCATGGAATTGGGGACACAGCAGGTGCTTCATGGGGGGGGGAATCATGGCTGTCATGAAATCTTGGGGGGGGGGGTTAAAGCAGTAGGGGGGCAGGCTTCTCC